CTTCCTGGGCCTGGGCCCCGCTGTAAAGCGGGTGTCCTGAGCCTCCCTCGGGTGATGCCTGATCCCCAGGGGGTGCCGGGCCCTGCACCCCCTCGGTCTGGGAGGCTCCCTGGAAGAGGGCTTCGTAGGCGTGGAGGGTGGGTGAGGGTGTTGATAGGCAGGTGGAGGGAGCTAACCATGTGAGTAAAGGCTGGGGAGAGTTGTCTCTGGGGGGTGAAGCCGGTGGGAATGGGGTGCGGCTGGTGCACGGGGAGGCTGGGTGGGTGGGCAGGGAGGTGCTGGAAGGCGGTTTGGGGTCGGGATGGGCAGGAGCACGGAAGGGTGGGGGCAGAGCGAGGAAGGTGGCAGGACTCCCGGGGACAGCACCTGCCCTGGGGCTCTCCATACCCCCCCCAACCCCTTGCAGCACCCCCTGCAGAGCGGCCAGGGGCAGAGCTTCCTGCTGGGCTCCCGGCCCCCCACTCCCCCGAGGGCCAGCCTCCAGCGCTGGGCCCCTTCCCACTGCACCTCTGGCCAGGGGTCCCGAGCACTGGAGGCCGAGGCACACGTGGCTGGGGCACCCCGATCCCGGAAGCCTGGCTGGGGTGCGAGTCCCTGTGACCTCAGACCGGGGCGGGGCAGCTGCCACCTCTGGCCCTCGTGGGCCGTTCCCTCCCCAAATCCCCGTGTGGAGGGCGGGCGGCAGGGGGGGTGAGGGCTGGGACTCACCAACCCCACCCTGTCCACTCAGTACTCGGTCCTTGCCCCTCTTGGGGAGGGGGGGCCTCATTGAGCTTCCTCCGGAGTCTGTGATGGGTGCTGGGACGGGTGCTGGCGGTGCTGGCAGAGGGGGCGGACCCTCTGCCCTGGGAAGGGACGTTCTATTTTTTTAAAATATCTATTTATTGATGTCCGAGAGGAAGGGAGACAGAGAGAAACATCCATGATGAGAGAGCATCACTGACCAGCTGCCTCCTGCACACCCCCAACTGGGAATGGAGCCCACAAGCCAGGCCTGTCCCCTGACCGGAATCGAACCCTGACCTGGTTTCTAGGTCGATGCTCAGCCCCTGAGCCAGCTGGCCGGGCAGGAAGGGGACTTGTTGTCTTGGGCAGCTCCGGGGTCTTCTGTTCTGGCCGGGAGCCGGGCTTTGCACCAGGGAGATGGAGGCGGGCGGCCCTCCGCCCAGACAGGCCCACCCGGCCTCCCCTCCCGCTGGGCGCGCCCTCCCCATCTGGCTCCGCCGGGGTGCGGGCTGACGGGAAGGTTCTGGGCTGTGAGCTAATAAATTGGGGATAATTAGGTTTGCGTGGCAGGAACACGGCCTGGGCGCTGGGCCTGCCTCTGCCCCCGGGCAGCAGCGGGGACGGGGGAGGACCCTGCGGGACGGTGCTCGCTGCCCGCCGTGGGTGTGTCTGCGTCTGCGGGCGCCGTCTCCTCACCCATCGCTGTCCACTCTCGCCCGTGGAGGCCAGAGCCGGTCACAGACACGGTGCACTGGCCCCCAGCAGGCCTGTCGCCAGGCAGCGGTCACCTTCGCCTTCGCTTCTGCTTTTGCTTTTGTTTTGCTTTGTTTTAGACAAAATGTACCGACAGCGAGATGCGCACCCTAAACTGAGCGTCTGCCGAGTTGGGACAGGCGGATGCTTTCTCCCGATGCAGATGCGACCCTCACCCCGGGGCCCCCTCGCCCCCACCTCCCAGGCCGTGGCCGCCTCGGCCACTGCGGATCCAGGCGGCTGGTCTCCAATCCCGTGAACGGAGTCTCAGGCAGGTTCTCCGTGTCCGACTGCCTGTCTCAGCGCCGGGCACGTGAAGCCCGTCCAGGGGTGGGGCCTCCGTGGCCCGTTCCTTTTCTCGTCACCCATCTCCCACCCACTCCCCCTCTCCAGCACACGGGCTGCGCACTCCGACCTGGGGGCCAGGGGTCAGAGAAACGGACCCCCCACAGCACGTGGGTGAGGCCCACCATGTGGATACATAAACTAGCCATCATGCATGTCACTGCGCCTAACACTTCTAGTTGTATTTTTTAAAAATGTTTCTAGCCGGGACCGGTTTGGCTCAGTGGTTAGAGCATCGGCCTGCAGACTGAAGGGTCCCAGGTTCCATTCCAGGCAAAGGCATGGACCTTGGTTGTGGGCACATCCCCAGTGGGGGTTGTGCGTGAGGCAGCTGGTCGATATTTCTCTCTCATCGGTGTTTCTAACTCTCTATCCTTCTCCCTTCCATAAATAAATATGTTTCTACTTATTTTAGAGAGAGAGGAGGAGGAGGAGGAGAGAGAGAGAAATGTTGATTGGCTGTCTTCTGCACACCCCCTGCTGAGACCGAACCTGGAACCTGGGCTTGCGCCCTGACCGGGAATCAAAACGGTGACCTTCTGTCGGTGCTCAGCCCCTGAGCCACAGCGCCAGGCTGCGCCCCACACTTTAAGAAAAACAACAACGATGCCTCTTGTCAGTCACTGCAATCGGCACAGGCAGAGCCGCCTTCTCCTGGCGGCTGCGTGGTGTGGTCGCTCTGGCATTGCGGTGGCTCCGGTCTCTGCAGAGAAGGCCATCCGCTATGTCTGGCCCCGACAGGCACGCACGTCGGACGCTGTGCAGGTTCTCACAAGCAGAATCGGTGAGTAAAGGGCTTTCGCGTTCACACTTTCGACGGATGTACCAAACCTGCTTCCAGAGCAGTGGTCAGCAAACTCATTGGTCCACAGAGCCAAATGTCAACAGGACAACGATTGACAGTTCTTTGGAGAGCCACATTTTTTAAACTTGAACTTCTTCTAATGCCACTTCTTCAACATAGACTCGCCCAGGCCTGGTATTTTGTGGAAGAGCCACACTCAAGGGGCCAAAGAGCCACATGTAGCCCTCGAGCCGCAGGTTGCTGACTAAAGGGGAGTATTTTTTAGGCCAATTTGCTTTCTGGAGGGTTGTTCCAGTTTTCACCCCAACCAGTAACTTAGCTTTCTTATCCCAGGTCCCCGCACGCCCCCTCCTCCCAATAAGACGCCCCAGCTGCCGCTGCACCCCTCACCCCCACCCGGTGTCACTCTGGAGGGCCTCCCCTGTCCCCCGCGCCCTTCGCTCTGCCTTGAGTTCGAGGCGTGTTTCTGGCTCAGGAGTTCACACTGGCTCCTCCCTCTGCCCGGAATGCCCCGACCACAGACCTGCTCACACGAGTGCCTCTCGGTCCCCCAGGCCCTGAGCTCGTGTGTCTCCGTCTGAGGGAGCCTTCCCGGCCACGAGGGAGGGCACCCAGGTAGGAGCCGGCACATACCCATCCCCAGCGGCACACGCCTGCCCAGTCCACCCCTGGGCAGCCCATCAGCTGCCTGTCTCCCCGGCCGGATGCCTCCTGCAGGGACCGCCACCTTGGACTGACACCCCGATGCGTCCCCTGCATCATGTGCCGGGCCAGGGAGGCCCAGGTGCTGGCAGCGTCCTCACACAGCCAAAAGGTCGCTGGTTTGATTCCGGGTCAGGGCCCGTGCCTGGGTTCCGGGCTCCATCCCGGTAGGAGGTGCGCAGGAGGCAGCCGATCCATGATTTCTCTCTCCTCAAAAGATCTTTATATAGATAATAAATATAATATAAATGTAAATCTCTATATATAAAACCCTAAGCGACTGATTGACCATGTGACCAGTCACTATGACGTGCACTGACCACCAGGGGCAGATGCTCAATGCGGGAGCTGCCCCTGGGGGGCAGCAGGTGCAGCAGGGCCCTCCCCACCACCTGCCGCTTCCCGCACTACCACACCCTCAGGGGATGTCAGACTGCGGTGTCGGCCCAATCCCTGGCCAGCCTCGAGGCAGTCCGACCTCCCCTGAGGAGTCCCGGGTTGGAGAGGGTGCAGGCAGGCACCCTCAGGACCCCATGGGGCCTCTAGTAAATCATAAATAAATAAGTAGATGATACATAAGTAAAGCCGCCTGTCACACACAGCACAGCTCGGTATGGCTCCCGGCACATCTCCAGGCCCAAGGCAGCCTCAGACTCGGCCTTTTAGGGTAATGGCTTGGCCCTAGGCTGTCTGGCTCAGTGGATAGAGCATCCAGAGGGCTGGATCCAGGGCGCACACCTCTGACAGCTCCTCCCTGCCCCGGCCCTGGTCTGGGCACGTGCAGGTAGGTGGTGGCTATTTCTGTCTTTCCCTCTGAAAATCAATGGGGAAATACCCTCAGGGGGATAGAAACCATAAGGACCCCGGGCCGGCGCGCGGGGACACGCCCCACGCACACAGGCTGGGTCCCCGGCCGCCTCTTCACTGGCAAACACCGGCTCCTGTGTCTGCCAGGCCGCAGCCCGGCCTCTGCTCTGGGCACAGCACGGGAGCAGGTGCTGGCCGAGCTCAGCCAGAGGGGCTGGGGAGGGGGGGCTGGGGGCCGCTGGGGGGGGCTGGGGCTGCTGGGGGGGGGCTGGGGGCCGCTGGGGGGGGCTGGGGGCCGCTGGGGGGGGGGCTGGGGGCCGCTGGGGGGGGGCTGGGGCCGCTGGGGGGCTCCCTGGAGATGTGGGGGCGGCTAAGGCAGGAGGAGGAGCCGGTCTGGTGGAGGTGGGGGGGGCGCCTGGCAGCACCTGCGGAACCCACCAGGCAGGGAGGACCCAGCTGCTGCCCATGCTCGGCCTCAGCCGGGAGCACCTGAGGCCGGGAGCACCGGGGCCGCTGCAGCCCCTGAACCTGACGGGATCTGCCCCCCCCCAGCGCCCCCCGCCCCCCCGCGCCTGCACAGGGGCTTCCAAACTCGGAGTCTGTCCCAGGACCATCCGCTCCCCTCCCCGCGCTGGTCTCTGGCGGACGGGGGTCGGAGGGCGGGGTGTCCCAGGCGGGGTGGGGGTGGGGGTGGGGGCGGGCCAGGTCAGCCAGGGACTGAGTCACTGCACCCATCTGGGGTGCTGGGTCCGGAGACCTCAGCCTCTGCCCCCCCCCCCTTTGTGCGTAGCCGGAGCCGCGGGCGGGAGGAGGCGGGAGGCGGGGGACGGGTGGGGAGGCGGGCGGGGCGGGGCCCCCGCTGTGCTCGCCGCCTCTGCACCCCGGACACGCACGCCGGCCAGGCCGCCGCCGACCGGACCCACGCAGGCCGCGGCGGGCGGGGCGGGCGGGTGCGGAGGGGCGGCAGCCGGCGGCGAGGTAAGCGGGCGCGCCGGGCGGGGACCTGTCGGAGCCTTTGTCTGCGCCCCGCTCTGCCGCCCAGCCGGGCCACGGGCGGGACGGGGACCCCGGGCCCCACTACCCACCCCGTCCAGGAGGGCCTCCCCCCTCCCGCCACCAGTGTGGGGCCGGGCCGGGCCGCCCCCGCCGCCCCGTCAGCGGCTGCGGGCGCCGACCGGCCGGGGAGCCGAGGCCCGGCCTGCCCTGCGGGCGCCCCCCTCGGGGGCCGCTCCGGTCCCTCCACCTGCGGCTCCCGGGCCTCCATCGCGCCCTCCCTCCGGGGCCGCTCCGGTCCCTCCACCTGCGGCTCCCGGGCCTCCATCGCGCCCTCCCGCTCCGGAGGCCGCGGCCAGAGGCGGCCTGTGCACCCGGGGGGGGGCGGGGGGGCGCCTCGCAGTGGGGGCTGCCCTTTGGGGGGCCGGCCTGGGAGCCAACTTTGCTGCCAATGGGGATGGGGACGGGGACGGGGATGGGCGGGCAGACCGGGGGTGGGGGGCGGGGGGCGCGGTGCTGGAGCGGCAGCTGCAGGGCCTGGGGTGGGCGGCTCCGGCCCCAGCCAGTGCTGGGTGGGCACCAGGGCAGGATGGGGGGCGGGGGGGGGGGCGGGATGGGGAGAGGAGGGGGGGCTGGCTCTGGGAGAGCAGCGGGGAGCTCCCTCCGGCCTGGGCATGGGGCGGGGCGGGCGGCCGAGGGCGGGAGCTGCCTGGACTGCGGGCACTGGGTGCGGCCAGGAGGCCCTGCTGGTGGCTCTCCAGTCTGGCGCCTGGCCCCTCGGTGGGCTCTGGGGTGGAGCAGCCCCCGAGGGGTCACCCTGGCTGGGGGCCGGGCGTCCTGCACTCTCAGTGCCCAGGGCATCCTCAGAGCCAACATCTACTCAGTCACAGCGAAGCTGGGGCCAGGGGGGGTGGGTCAGTGCCGAACAGGCCCGGGGGTGGCTCTGCCCAGCTGCCCTCCCACGAGGTAGGCAGGAGCCTGGTTTGGGGTGGGCTCCGGAGCCCTCGGCCGCACTGTGCCTGGCCAGGGGCTGTGACCCGGGCTGCCCTGAGGCGGGGACAGTGGGGCCCAGGGTGGCCGGGCCTCTCGGGGCTCCCTGGCAGGCACGAGGGGTGCCGGGGGGGGGGGTGGGCAGGGAGAGCCCCGGCCAGTCTGTGCACGCTCTCCACTGTAATTCTCAGGGGCTGGGAGCGGGGCTGGGCAGTCTGGGCTCTGAGCCTGAGGACCTGGGAGGGGAAGGGAGGTCTGCGGCCTGGAAAGGCGGGGGCGCCTCCTCAGGGGACTCCCCCCACCGCCCGGGCAGCCGTGATGTCGTGTTGGGGCCATGGGTCAGCGGCCGGGGAGTCAGGGCCCCCCGCCACCAGGAGGGGCCAGGGCCCGTGTGCATGGCGGCTGCCGGCTTCCCCCCCCCCCCCGGGCAGGATGGGCCCTCCGGGCTGGATGCGGGCAGAGGCCTCAGGGCGGGTGTCTGCGGTGCCAAGTGGGCCGGCTGCAGGGCGGCAGTGCCGGGCCTCCGTCCGGCGGCAGAGCGGTGAGCTGGCCCGGCCGGCCCCTCACGACGCAGGACTGAGGCCAGACGCTTAACAAACAGCCCACAGGTGGGCCAGGCGCGGGGCCTCTCCCTTGGAGGCCAGGCCAGAGGAAGGGCTGGCTGCGCGGATGGGTCTCCGTGCCCAGGGCCTGGGTTTGCCTCCGGCCCCGGCTGCCGCCTGTGCAGCCCTGAGGCTCAGGCTCCTCGGCCCCTCTCCCCGGGGGCCTTGTGCTCGTGGTGTCTGTTCTGATGCCCGCCCAGCCGGCACCGAACCTCCAATCGCTCCCCTCCACCCGTTCCCTGTGGCCTCGCCGAGCCGGCCTCCGGCGGTCCCGGGGTGGCACGTGGGAAGGCTCAGTGGGTGGAGAGCAGCGAGGGGGGCGGGGGGCGGGGGGCCCGGGCAGCAGCAGGGCCCCCTCCCGGCCCCTCAGCCGCCCTCTCTCCGCAGCCCGGGCCGCCATGGGCTCTGCGGGCAGCCAGCGCCTCAAGGAGCCGGGCACGGCGGGCAGGAGCGTGGTGACGGGCTTCAGCTTCGAGGGCTGCCGGCTGGAGGAGGAGGCGGCCAGGGGCACCCCGGTTTTCACGGACTCTGGTGAGTGAGGGTGCGGGCGACGGGGGGCCGGGGGGCCCTCGGGAGGCAGCGTGGGCACCCCTGGGCGCGGGGCCTCGTGTGCGGGCAGAGAGGGTGTGGCCTTCCCCTCGGGCCGCCGCTACGGTGAGGGGGCCTCTGGGGGGCGTCCGTGACCCCGTCCAGGTGGGAGGCGCATGGCCACGCAGGCGCAGCCCGTACACTGCCCTTGGGGTGACACGCCACCTGGCACATCCACTAGCCACGGCCGTGCCTCCCTCTGGCTCCGGGCCGGCCACGGACCTCGGCCACCTGCCGGCCTCTCCGGCTTCGGGGCCGGCCTGAGACCAGCATGCAGCGGCGGCGTGTGGCGTGTGGCTCATGGCGTGTGGCTCGCGGCGTGTGGCGTGTGGCTCGCGGCGTGTGGCGTGTGGCTCGCGGCGTGTGGCGTGTGGCTCATGGCATGTGGCATGTGGCTCGCGGCGTGTGGCATGTGGCTCGTGGCATGTGGCGTGTGGCTCGCGGCGTGTGGCGTGTGGCTCGCGGCGTGTGGCGTGTGGCTCATGGCGTGTGGCTCATGGCGTGTGGCGTGTGGCTTGCGGCGTGTGGCGTGTGGCTCGCGGCGTGTGGCTCCTGGTGGCCGCGGGCTCACCGCCGTGTCTCCCTCAGAGGGGCGGGCGCCGGACGACCGCTACCACGCCGTCTACTTCGCCATGCTGCTGGCGGGCGTGGGCTTCCTGCTGCCCTACAACAGCTTCATCACCGACGTGGACTACCTGCACCACAAGTTCCCAGGTGGGCCCACCGGGACGGGCCCCGCTCCGCCCCGGCCGCGGAGGGCGCTGCCGAGGGCCGGAGTGACGGCCCTGCCCTCGGGGACATCCTAGTGAGGAGGCGGGACCGGGGGCTCCCGAGCACTGCCCCCTCCTCCCCCCCCAGGGACCTCCATCGTGTTCGACATGAGCCTCACCTACATCCTGGTGGCGCTGGTGGCCGTGCTGCTCAACAACGCGCTGGTGGAGCGGCTGAGCCTGCACACGAGGATCACGGCGGGTGCGCCTCCGCCCGGCCCCCGGCCCCGCCCCTCACTCCCCCGCTCCCTCTCCCCACTCCCCGGCCCCCCGCTCCCCCCGCCCCCCGCTTCCCCGCTCCCCGCTCCCCCCGTCCCCCCGCTCCCCCGCTCCCCCCGCCCCTCACTCCCCCGCCCCCCGCCCCCCGGCCCCCCTCCCCCCGCTCCCCGGCTCCCCCTACTCCCACCGCCCATCCCCCCGCCACCCCCCCCCGCTCCCCACACTCCCCCCGCCCCCCGCCCCCCCGCTCCCCGGCCTGCACCTCGCCCTCCGTGGGACGGTGGGGACTCCCAGGGAACGCGGTCAGGCCGTGGTGTGTGGGGGCCGCGCCCAGCATGTTGTGGTCCTGGGGCCCAGCTCTCCCCTCCGCCCGGTCTTCTCCCCTTTCCCCCTCCTCCATGCTGACATCCGCTTCATGGGCCAGCACCTCCTCCAGGCAGCCCTCCCTCCGGCCCCTCTCAGGCCTCAGGGCGTCCCCACACCGGGCACCGGCCGTGAAGGGCGAGGGCAGAGGGAGGGGAGAGCAGAGCCCGCGCCCGCCCCCTGACCGCCCGGCTGCCCGCAGGCTACCTCCTGGCCCTGGGCCCCCTCCTCTTCATCAGCGTCTGCGACGTGTGGCTGCAGCTTTTCCCCCGGCGCCAGGCCTACGCCATCAACCTGGCCGCCGTGGGCACCGTGGCCTTCGGCTGCACAGGTAGGCGGGGAGGGAGCAGGGCCGGGAGGGAGCAGGGCCGGGGGGGGGGGGGGAGCAGGGCCGGGGGGGGGGGGAGCAGGGCCGGGAGGGAGCAGGGCCGGGAGGGGAGCAGGGCCGGGGGGTGGGGGGAGCAGGGCCGGGAGGGAGCAGGGCCGGGAGGGAGCAGGGCCGGGGGTGGGGGGAGCAGGGCCGGGGGGGGGTGGGAGCAGGGCCGGGGAGGGAGCAGGGCCGGGGGGCCCTGAGACCCGGCCCGCCCCAGCCCGCCCCAGCCCCCTGGGTGTGGAAGGTGGGAGGCCCAGTCCCTTCCTTTCCCTCCACTTGTGCGACATCAGCTTCAAGGCTCAGCGCTCAGGGCGCCTGGGCCAGGAAGCCATTTGGTGTGAATTAAACCAAGGCTGCTTTTTAAAACATTTTTTAATTTTTTTATTGATTAAGGTATCACATATTTGTCCTCATCCCCACATTCCCATCCCACACCCCCCCCCATGCATGCCCCCACCTCCTGTTGTCCTTGACCTCTGGTTAGGCTCATATGTATGTACCAAGGCTGCTTTTAAAAAATATACATGTATGTTATTATTATTATTGATTTCCGAGAGGAAGGGAGACAGAGAGTTAGAAATATCAGTGCTGAGAGAATCACTGACCGGCTGCCTCCTGCACACCCCACACTGGGTGGAGCCAGCACCCTGGGCCTGTGCTCTGACCGGGAATCGAACCCTGACCTTCTGGTTCAGAGGTCAATGCTGGGCAGACCCAGGCTTCCTGAGGAACGTCCTTGCCCAGGCCGGGCGCTCAGGTCTGTGTTAAAAACACAAGTGCGGTAGGTTACCCTGAGTCCACAGGCCTGATTTTGAAGAACTCCAGAATTATGTTTAGAGACACTGCAAGCTACCTTGGGTCAATCTGTTCCTTCTTGTTTCAATTAAACTGAATTTACACACAAAAAAACAAAACACAGCGTGGGGGGAGGGCAGCCAGCTCCTCCCCGGCCGGGTCGGTGAGGAGGGGAGAGGCGACGCTGCAGTGACGGGTGAGCCAGGAAGCTCAGCAGCTTAAAACCAAACTCACCTCCGGCTCCCGTCCACCTTCCTCCGGTGGATGGAGCCGTCAGCACCGCCAGCCGCCCGAGGCCCCGCTTGCCTCGGGGCCCTCCAGTCCTGCAGGGGCCGGGGGCCGGGCGTCCCAGCTCCGCTGCCTCTCAGAGCGATGGTGTCATTTCCCGCAGACGGGCCGGGCGCCAGGTCTCGCCCAGCGAGGTGGCCGGCCCCGGGCTGACAGGACCTGTGCCCGCGCCCTCGCCCGCAGTGTGTCCGCGCTGGCAGTGCCAGTGGTGTCACGGCTGCTCCTCTCGCCCTCGCCCTCTCCCTCTCTCTCCCTCTCTCTCCCTCTCTCTCTCTCCCTCTCTCTCTCTCTCAAGTGCAGCAATCCAGCTTCTACGGGTACACGGGAATGCTGCCCAAGCGGTACACCCAGGGCGTGATGACCGGAGAGAGTGAGTGCGGAGCCCCGGGGGGCGGGCCTGGGCTGCTGGCCTCTGAGGCTCCTCCCAGGGACACACCAGCTTGGCCTGCCTGGCTGGGGAAGCCGTGTCGCCGTGTCTGTGTGTGTGTGTGTCTGTGTGCATCTGTGTGTCGTCTGTGTGTGCATGTGTGTGCCTCTGTCTTTGCATGCATGTCTGTGTGCACGCATGTGTCTATGCACGTATGTCTGTGTGTGCGCGCCTGTGTGTCTGTGTGTGGGGGGGTAGCTCTCCTGTCCCACAAGGCGTGCTCCTCAGCCGGCTCTCCACGGAGCAGGGCCCACAAGCCCCGCACCCAGCACCCCTTGCTCCTCAGACCCCTTTCCCAGGCCGCCCGCCGTCTCCCACCTAAGGGCGGCCTGGTCCCCGCTGCCCCCACCACCCTGCAGCCGTCTGCATCCTCTCTTCATTGATCTCCACTGCCGTGTGCCCAGCTGGCACCGGGGAATGCTCCCGGAGCAGGCACACGTGGTAGCTCATTGCCTGTCTGGGGCCAAGCAGGGCGGGGCGGACTGGAGTGGAGGCAGAGGGCCCGGGGCCCAGGCAGGAGAGGGGCCGACGGGCTGAGCACCCAGGACCGGCCGGGCGGGGCGACTGTGCAGGGGCAGTGGTGGCTGGGCAAGGGGGTGGGTGCAGGTGAGTGCAGTGGGGGTGGGGGTGCAGGTGGGCGCAGTGGGGTGGGTGCAGGTGGACGCAGTGGGGTGGGCGCAGTGGGGGGGTGCAGATGGATGCAGTGGGGGGTGCAGGTGGGCGCAGTGGGGGTGGGGGTGCAGGTGGGCGCAGTGGGGTGGGTGCAGGTGGGCGCAGTGGGGGGGTGCAGGTGGGCGCAGTGGGGGTGGGGTGCAGGTGGACGCAGTGCGGGGTGCAGGTGGACGCAGTGCGGGGTGCAGGTGGGCACAGTGGGGGTGGGGGTGCAGGTGGGCGCAGTGGGGGTGGGGGTGCAGGTGGGCGCAGTGGGGTGGGTGCAGTGGGGGGGTGCAGGTGGGCGCAGTGGGGTGGGCGCAGTGGGGGGGTGCAGGTGGACGCAGTGGGGTCGGTGCAGGTGGACGCAGTGGGGTCGGTGCAGTGGGGGGGTGCAGGTGGACGCAGTGGGGTCGGTGCAGGTGGGCGCAGTGGGGGTGGGGGTGCAGGTGGACGCAGTAGGGTCGGTGCAGGTGGACGCAGTGGGGTCGGTGCAGTGGGGGGGTGCAGGTGGACGCAGTGGGGTCGGTGCAGGTGGACGCAGTGGGGTCGGTGCAGTGGGGGGGTGCAGGTGGACGCAGTGGGGTCGGTGCAGGTGAACGCAGTGGGGTCGGTGCAGGTGGACGCAGTGGGGTCGGTGCAGTGGGGGGGTGCAGGTGGACGCAGTGGGGTCGGTGCAGGTGGACGCAGTGGGGGGTGCAGGTGGACGCAGTGCGGGGTGCAGGTGGACGCAGTGCGGGGTGCAGATGGACGCAGTGGGGTGGGTGCAGTGGGGTGGGCGCAGTGGGGGGGTGCAGATGGGCGCAGTGGGGTGGGTGCAGGTGGACGCAGTGGGGTCGGTGCAGGTGGACGCAGTGCGGGGTGCAGGTGGACGCAGTGGGGGTGCAGGTGGACGCAGTGGGGTGGGCGCAGTGGGGGGGTGCAGGTGGACGCAGTGGGGTTGGTGCAGGTGGGCGCAGTGGGGGTGCAGGTGGGCACGGGGGCGGGGCTGGCAGGGCCTGAGGGACCCTCCCCGCAGGCACGGCGGGCGTCATGGTGTCCCTGAGCCGCATCGTCACCAAGCTGCTGCTGCGGGGCGAGCGGGCCAGCACGCTCACCTTCTTCCTGGTCTCCGCCGGCCTGGAGCTGCTCTGCTTCCTGCTGCACCTGCTGGTGCGGGGCAGCCGCTTCGTGCGCCACCACACGGCGCGGCCCCGGGGCGGCCGCGCGCACCACGTGGCCGCCGGCGACATCTGCCTCGTGAGTCCGAGCCGGGCCCAGCCGGCCCGCGTCCTGGGATGCGGCTGAGGAGTCTGCCCCCTGCTGGGCGGGCGGGAGAGCAGGACGTGGCACAGACGCTGGCCCAGCGCTGTCCCCTCAGCCAGGACAGGACAGTGAACCCCGCAGAGACCAGGATGGGCAGAGGGCGCCGTGCGGGACCAGCCCCGCGCCCGCCCGGAAAGGACGGGGTTCCCCAGGGGCGCCCAGGCCGAGCCCGCCTGTGTGCAGGGAGGGGTGAGGGGCTGGGGCCGCGCTGGGAGCAGCAGGGCCCCACAAACCCTGCCGCACCCTGTCCCCCAGGAGAACCCGGGCCCGGCCGGCGGGTCCCCGGACAGCCCGGCCCACGAGGCGCCCGGCGGTGAGCGCGGAGCCTACACGCGGTTCGACGTGCCGCGGGCGCGAGCCGAGCGGAGCTGGCCCTCCGTCCGCGGTGGGTGCAGGCTCCCGGGAGGCACAGGGATGGGGGGGGACAGGGGGGGAGCTGGCCCTCCGTCCGCGGTGGGTGCGGCTCCCGGGAGGCACAGGGATGGGGGGGGACAGGGTGGGAGCTGGCCCTCCGTCCGCGGTGGGTGCAGCTCCCGGGTGGCACGGGGACAGGGGGGAGGGGGGGAGACAGGGGGGGAGCTGGCCCTCCGTCCGCGGTGGGTGCAGCTCCCGGGTGGCGCGGGGACAGGGGGGTGGGGGGGGACAGGGTGGGAGCTGGCCCTCCGTCCGCGGTGGGTGCGGCTCCCGGGAGGCGTGGGGACAGGGGGGTGGGGTGGGGAGCTGGCCCTCCATCCTCAGTGGGTGCAGCTCCTGGGTGGCGCGGGGGTGGGGGGACAGGGGGGGAGCTGGCCCTCCGTCCGCGGTGGGTGCGGCTCCCGGGAGGCGTGGGGACAGGGGGGTGGGGTGGGGAGCTGGCCCTCCGTCCGCGGTGGGTGCGGCTCCTGGGGTGGTGCGGGCATGGGGGGGGGAGCTGGCCCTCCATCCTCAGTGGGTGCAGCTCCTGGGTGGCGCGGGGGTGGGGGGACAGGGGGGGAGCTGGCCCTCCGTCCGCGGTGGGTGCGGCTCCTGGGGTGGTGCGGGCATGGGGGGGGGAGCTGGCCCTCCATCCTCAGTGGGTGCAGCTCCTGGGTGGCGCGGGGGTGGGGGGACAGGGGGGGAGCTGGCCCTCCGTCCGCGGTGGGTGCGGCTCCTGGGGTGGTGCGGGCATGGGGGGGGGAGCTGGCCCTCCATCCTCAGTGGGTGCAGCTCCTGGGTGGCGCGGGGGTGGGGGGACAGGGGGGGAGCTGGCCCTCCGTCCGCGGTGGGTGCGGCTCCTGGGGTGGTGCGGGCATGGGGGGGGAGCTGGCCCTCCATCCTCAGTGGGTGCAGCTCCCGGGTGGCGCGGGGATGGGGGTAGGGGAGGAGGAGGAGGGGCGGGTGCTGACCAGCCGCCCCCCAGCCCTGCTGCTGCACCGGTACGCGGTGGCCCGCGCCATCTGGGCGGACATGCTGTCCATCGCCGTCACCTACTTCATCACCCTGTGCCTGTTCCCCGGCCTGGAGTCCGAGATGCGGCACTGCACGCTGGGCGAGTGGCTGCCCATCCTCGTCATGGCCGTGTTCAACCTCGCCGACTTCGTGGGCAAGGTGCGCCCGGGCCACGGTCACAGGCCACGGCCACGGAGGGCCAGGCCGCGGGGTGGGAGTGGCCAGCCTGGAGGGCCGGCTGTGCCCGGGGCAGGCCCGGAGCCGGAGCGGCTGGGCTGCGAGGGGGGAGGTTAGGTCCGGCTGCCGCGGCCACCCAGCGGGGCTCGGAGCTCAGGGCTCTGAGGGGACCCCAGAGCTGCCCCGAGGCCCGGGGCTGCCGGGACCCCTGCCGTGTGCGGGGGGTGGGCACCCGCAGGGGCGCCGGGGCTGCCGGGCGGGGGCCGCGGGGGCGGGGCCTCACACCTGCCCCCGCAGATCCTGGCGGCGCTGCCGGTGGACTGGCGGGGCACGCACCTGCTGGCCTGCGCCTGCCTGCGCGTGGTCTTCATCCCGCTGTTCATCCTGTGCGTGTACCCCAGCGGCGCGCCCGCCCTGCGCCACCCCGCCTGGCCCTGCGTGCTCTCCCTGCTCATGGGCATCAGCAACGGCTACTTCGGCAGCGTGCCCATGATCCTGGCCGCCGGCAAGGTGGGGCCGCGGCAGCGGGAGCTGGCAGGTAGGCGCGGGGGCCCGGTCGGCATCGGGCGACCCGGCGGGCACCCTCGGGGGCGGGCGGGCGGCCCTCTGGGGGCTCTCACTCCGCTGCCGGCCTCAGCGCCCGGTGCCGGGGACGCGGTGGTGACAGACTCCATCGTGCATTTCCGGCACCGCCGGGCAGGGGGACAGACAGACACAGAAGGACAGTGAGGCAGAGGAAGGGGGTGGCCGGCCGGGCAGGCGTCAGGCCTGAGGAGCGGGGTCAGAGGCGCTGGGCCTGGGCGGGCGGGGGTTGGAGGAGCGGGGGCTCTGAGTGGACAGTGGTCCCCACGGCTGATGATGGTGGGGGGGCAGAAGGACTCGGATTCGGGCCGATCTCCAGGAGAGACGCCCTT